GGGAAATTACGTCACCGCCATATGGCGTAGGCTTTCCTCTTTTTTTTCTTTTCATTTATCCTTCACCTGAGTGTCTCGTGCTGTGGGCTTGGTCTCTCTTTCTTCTGTCGTCGCATTTGGCCGTCGCGGATATATTCGCGACTCGTTTCAGAGCCTGGAGGGGTCGAGTGAATCCTTGGACCCTCAGTTGGGTCTCTCTCGGATGCCCGAGCGGATGCTGCGTCAGTGCGAGCTGGGCCTGGCCCTCTCCTTCCCCCTCAGCAAGAGTGTTTAGAGACGTATGAGGAAGCGAGAGATCCAGTATCCGGGGTTTTCTATTTCCAACCGCCGTCTGCTCCGTTGTGACTTACAGCGTCCGTCTGTCCGTTGTTTACTCTGTGGACCGTTTTTTTTCCACATCGGCGGAGACGTGGAAAATGGAGTGACATGCTCTCCGGTGCTCTCTTCTATCCGTGATTGCCGGAAATACTGTGACGTGACGTCGTTTTACGAGACCGGGTTTCCATTTACCTTCTTGAAATGGGTTTACGAGGGGTGTAAAAAGGAAGGACCGAGATGTCCTTTCGAGTGGGCCTCCTCTCAAATAGGAAAGAGGGCACTTACGCGAGTCCCATCGTGACTGACGGTGTGTCTGTGAGCTACCACTTTCGTTTTGCTTGATAACTCGAAAAGTTTATACCTGGTTGCCGCGAAAATTGGTATGCGGAGACGCATGAGCAAGCATTTCAGGGTGAATTCACTTTTGATAACGTTAGTGCAAAAAGCCTGAAGCTTTACGGTGAATTCCATATTTACTCATATCGGCATTCGTCGTGCGAAAAGGAATGTGGCTTTTTTTTCCATTCATGTCTCTATTTAAAAAAAATTATATCTGATAGAGTACTGATTAGTGATGGTGAATAAGTCACAGAGTCTGGTTGTATTTTGATCAAAGAGGTATAAAAGAGGCTTCTCTTTATTGAGGTCCATTACTGGAGTCTGATCATCGCCTAAGCCGAATATATGCGTCTAAATTTCAATTAAATATAACTAGAATAAATCTAAATTACTCCAAGCTGAAAACCATGTAGGAAGCAAACATTTCTGTTGCTGTGCTAAAACGCTGAACGGAATCTAAATCTGCTTTTATATTTAGATTATATGACTATCTTAGAGCAGCTTAAAAAGAAAAGTTTTTTTTCTCGCTTAATTTGACATTTTGGCTCTTGCTAATAATTCGTCTCAAACGAGGAATATTTGTTAGACTATATTGACCCAGGCTATATGCGGTAAATAGAGACGAAGGGAAATAACTCCCAAAACCAAGCATTTGCAGTGATATGTGATACCACCCTGGCTGGCCATGGCCTGCGACGATTTTTTTCTCGTCATTTGAGCTCCCGGTCGCATGTCCCAGCAAGTGTTTGGTGCAGAGCGTTTTTTCTCTCTCTTTCTTAGAATTTTACACGGCATTTAGGATGAACCAGTTTTAGTTTTGGCAAGAGCAGACTTCTCCTTTTAGACTGTTATGAGATTTTGCTCGGCGTTTTAGTAAAGGCGAGAAACAGACCTGAATAGATTTTAACACTGCTTTTAAATTATATTTATTCAAGTTAGATTCAGTATTGGCGAGGAACATACCCCTGAACTGGACATTCCCCCCTGTTCTTTAACAGTCTCTCAAAGTTGATGTTTGGGATCGAGTATATTCGCAGGACCATCGCATTTATGGTTCTATAAAACTTTAATTAATTCCACTGGACATGCTGTTGTCACGGGGCGTATATTTAATCGTTGTTGGCTTATTATCGTATTATTTCCACTTCATGGTCAGATTACAGCTATATAAACCTGCATGGCTTAGTATAGTAGAATGAACAGTATCTCTTAGGCTATTTCAAAAGCTTGCAGGGGACTATTCAGCTGTCAGAGCCTTTTTTTTTAAAGCTGAATTCATGAGACGCTACTTAGTTAATCGAACGACCCGAAAATTGCCCCCCCCCCCCCTAATATCGGCAACACGGTGAATTTTCTTAGATAGGGTTGGTTGTTACGGTGCTAAGCCCCCCCCCCCCCTCCCCACTCCCCGGGGACAAATTTCAGTCGAACACAGCAACTCAAATCGGAGTGAAAAGTACTGAAAATGTGTACCTCCGTGCTTCCGTTGGGAGTGAGGCAGATTGGCCTCTGGGAGGTACTCCTGCCCCTTACTCAATACAATACGAGGCCCTTTTTGCTATTGCCGTAATCAGAATCGCAATAGTTACGAACCTTCGCCATTCAAGATTCGCCAGTGTGTAGGAAACATTGGAAGTGTGAACCGGAATTAGCATTCGTATGAATATAAAGAGTGATATCCCCAGAAATCCTTGACGGATGGAGCAAGAGATTTGAATCCCAATATGTTCCTTTTGTGACTCGGAAGGTCACGAAACCTCATTTCCATGCCTATCTCTGCGGTTCTCGCCCCCCTAATGGCCTCACCCATTGTCTCCACGTATATGACATTCCGACACTTTTTCGTCTTCGTTATTTCTCCCCCTCTGCCCCAGGGTGTAGAAATTAAGCCTGTGCTTTCGCCCGGTTTAATTATTGGCTGTGTACACGCCTAACTGAGGATTTCGTGGGATTGAGGCTACGATGCTTCCCAGGCAAAGGGTTGTGGCCGGGGTATTCAGTCATAATAAGTCGTGGAAATCATACACAGGTGAAAGTGACCATATAATGACGAAACCTAGTCTGCATTAATCATCTCTGTTAAACAGCATGGGAGAGAAGAAATCCGTCAAAGAGAAAGAGGGGGCCTCTCTCCAGGTATATAAGACGTGCATTTTGGAGCCTTGAGCCTTCATTCCAGACCGCAGGCTTCTTCAAGGACGGGACCATCAACTCCGTCTTATTTTTTTTTCTTCCTTCCTCTCTTTCAATTATCGACCTAGAGAAGGGAAATTACAGGGAGAGAAGGATTTTGTGGCACCCTGTTCGGGAACGAGACGAGTGTTCAACTTAAGCATCGTCACGTGCTGTTCTCAGATTTCAAAATAGTAGGATAGGGGGGACCTCGATCTGGGTTGCTATAGGTCATCCGTGGGTTCCCGGGGCTCCTTCGTCATGTCCGAGACCTTTGCTTCCTCCGTCATTGTTTCCGAGGAAGATGAGCCATTATTCAGAGGATGACGCATGATTTGAAGAGGCAAGGCCTGAGATGGATGATCCGTGTAAGGGCGTGAGAGAGAGTCGAGAAGTAGGAAAGAATTATGGTGGCAATTTGTCGCCCCCTGTATCACGCCTGAGTGGGGATCGTAGGTCCGCACGGAAAGTGAAAACCAGTTCATTTTTAATGGGTGAGAGATTGCGCCGGGCCCAGGGTCCGTCTGTTAATCACGGGCCCAGCAGGCCGCATGCATTTCGTAAACATTAAGCAATGTCAGCTGAAATGCCCGTGGGGGGAAGGAGAGAGAGAATAAAAAACTCGAAAAGTTGATGGGTTTTTCCCAGGAACTCGGAACTACTCATGCAAAAGGTAGGGGGGGGGGCAATTATGCAAATGTTCGAGAAAACGACTCTTGCGTCGATTACGACCTTTGATCTCGTTGGAACAACCGAGGGTGGATGAAGCGAGAGAAAGTCCTAAAAGATGTACCCTTCCTTGTGAAGTCATCGCATCATTTACATCCCCAAACATTGTTATTGTTTCCGCCTCGTGGTGAAAGGCTCTCCAAAAGTCAATCCGTACGGAGGAGGTTGAAAGAGGTCTAGGACCCTAAAAGGTGAAGGCGTCGCGTCATCTTAGCGCCGAAGAGGATGAAGATTAAAGATGGGGATGATAGGAAGAAAACCCTTCCGTGAAGGTCTTGGCCTTCCTGTCAATGCATTGTCTCGATTCATTCCACGTCTGACATTCATTCCCGCGGTACGTCATCGCCGCTTTTCTTGCTCCTTCGATCCAATCATCTTCAGCTTCAGCAGTCACGCACAGACCCTCTCACCCTGACTCGGGCGAGAAATGCCACGCTACACCCTCTGAGCAAATACACCGTGTTGCCGATATTATTGTCCTAGGCTTTCGAATTTCGGACTTCGAAGGTCGTAGCGTGTATGCTCGCTGTTATCGTATTCTCCTTAAGGTAAAAATTTCAGAAAGCCTAATGCCATGTTTACACTATTATATAACAATTTTGATAACGATGATCACTGCAATATCGTGCTGATCTACGACTCTTTCACCGCAGTGATCGAGAAAACTCGACGACGGGAAATCGTGTCACTAGTAAGCTGACGAGTATTCTCGATCTCAGTTTGAGCTGGAGGCTCAAACTTTGAGAGCAAGTATATTCGTCCCTCACCTATATTCTACTCCATACATTTTTTGCTACGATATGACCGACGCACTAAAAAAAAAAACAGCGTGTTTAGGGGACGGGGGGGGGGGGTTGCTGCCGCTTGCTGCAAAACTTAGCAACGTAAACCTTTAGTCTATTCCTTGATGATAAGTCGATTAGCTCTGAACGAGAAGCTCGCAAGCATAAGATAGTAATGTCAACAGGATTTTGGTGCTCTGACAGAAGGTGAATGAATGCTATTCTCATGACGTGATTCTGATATATTAACATCCTTGCGAACACCTCATAACAATTTAAGAAGAAATTGCTGGATTTTTTTTTTTAAGCTAAGTATCGCCTTTCTTTAATAATGAAGTTAAATGAACGCTAAAGCACTGTTTTGCAGATAGATATTGCTGGAGTTTTGTTTCATTACTATTGCGTCCAGTCTGAGTTCGCCATTTGTCAGAGAACCACATACTTATTGCGCATGTTTTTTTTTATTGAGGCTTATGTACTACTAGACTTTTTTCCGACATGTATAGGGTTTAGGCCTCATGCCAGTTGTCCTTGAGGAGTGACTCATTCTACATCATGCATGCCTCTTTGCAGGTATCACATGTCTTCCTTGCCACTCCTTAGGAGTGTGCAGTCACGAAAGACAGGTGCAAGGAAGAAACAAAGACCACCGGAATAAGAATGGGGAAGAAGAAGCCGGGACCAAGAAGTGGACCGCAGGACACGCCACCGTCTGACTCCAATGCCTCCTTGGTCAGTTTCTTATCTCGAGGTCATCGCATGAAATACACTCTAAATCCAGGGAAATACGAGGACCAACAAGTGTCCTTAACCCTTGATCCCGAGGACGAGCTGTCGATGAAGGCGCAGGGGGAGATGAAAGAATCCCCGACGTCCGAAGTCCAGGTCGTAACATATCCTGATGAAGGGAACGTGCCTTCTGCATCAACGAAGGATCTAAATGAGAAGTCGAAATGGCGTTGGGTGTTGTTCGTGCATGAAGACGGATCCGTGAGTGCTTTGAATGCCAAGGAACGTCAGAAGCCCGCTCGACACCAGAATGGTCATGGAGTCGTTGCACGACGGAGGAAACATAGATTTGACTGGCCGAAGAAGCGGCCCAAGTCTAGTGATTCTAATGGAGTTGAAGGCCAAACCGAATCGAGTGTTTTTGTTAACGGGAAGAGCCCTGAAAAAAAGAAGACTAGGTCCAAATCGAAACCTGGCAAGGTGGTGAAACGAAGGAAAAGCGTTTCCAGTCATTCCGGTTCGGAACGTGGAAGGAAGAAGCTAAGCAAGAAGGCGACGAAGTCTGCACCTATTGAGGGTGCTGCAGAAAAACCTTTAGGAAGGAAGAAAAAGAAGAAAGAGGATCGGGGGAAGCAGAAGGTGAAGAAGGTGTCTGAAAGTGTCCAGACAGAGGAGGAGCTAAGCACAATACAGGTGGAATATCGAGGGGAGGAACAAGCTGTGGACGTTGGAGATCTCCACACTCGACCCCTCGTACCCAAGAAAGAGAGACCGAAATCCAAGACAAAGGCGAGGAAAGGAAGGAGGCACGGCTGGTGGGCTGGCCGGAGACGGAGGTCCAAATCCACGACACAAGCTTTCTCGAGGCGGCGACGCAACAGTACTAGTGGATCGGAACGGAAGAAGAAGTCCCGTGACGAAACCACCTCTTCAGAGTCCGATGACAGCGGGAAAGATGAGCCCGTGAAGAAACAGAGCAGCGCGTTTCGGTTCAAGAAGCGCGGGAAGTCTCCCCGAAGATCTCCCTCAAAGACGAAACTGAAGGAAGAGAAGACGAAAGAGAAAGAAGTTATGGGAAAAGCGGAAACGGAAGCGAAAGTCGGTTCTGGAAAGGGATTTGGGATGCGGTTCCGTCGAAAGTCTGATTCTTCCAAATCTCCGCCAGAAAAGAAAGATTCCTCCCGCCGGATCACGTGGACCTATCCCAAGCGTAAAGCTTCCAAAGTCAAGATATCCCAATCTGGGAAAGTGGGGAAACGAGACAGCAAAAGGGGGAAAAAGAACGGGGAAAGAAAAGGATCGTTGAAAGGGATCAAATTTTCTCATTCAGAAACGGAAAACCCGAAAGAGGACGAGGGTCCGGTTCAGTCTACGGATACCCCCTTGTTGAAGGCCCCGGCTCCAAAAGCTAAGCGGCTCTGGCTCCCCTCACCATGGAAGAAAGACAAACTTGAGAAGGGAGACAAGCCTGCCGAGGACAAGACACAAGAGGTCCAGGACGATAGAACAGAATTCATCGATATTCCGGACATCCGTCTCTCCTATAAGACGGCCAGTGCCCAAATGGAAGTAGAGCGGGTGCCTGAAATCAAGCCCTCGCCGCCTCAAGAGGTGAAGAAGACTGCGTCTCTGAAATGGCCCAGCTTTGGCGCGAAGACCAAAGATAAGGGACTTGAGGAGATGGATGCCTCGACGTCACCTCAAGACCACAAAAAAAAGCCCTTCTGGAGTCTCGGGCGAAGAAGGGCATCATTGAGTTCGGAGAGCGAGCACGAGGATCTGCCCCAGCCCATGAAAAGGAAGAAAGTGCAAAGTTCTTCTGAGAAACAAGCAAAAAAATCTGGCGAAGAGAAATCGGATTCATTCTGGTATAACTTGAAATTCAAGGACGAGGAACTAGGAGGAGAGATGGTTCGAAGTCCCCAGTTGCAACCGTTGGACGACTCCGGTCTGGACTTAACATACGAGACACCCAAGAAGACGGAAAAGGAGATGCTGTCTCGACACCCTGGCTCCGGAGATGGATGGTACTGGTGGATTCTAAAGGTCAAATCTGGAAAGGCTCCCTTCCGAGACGACACGAATTTGAAACGAAGCGTTGTGGTGTCCTCGCCAGATTCCACCGACGCGAAGACCCAGATTGAGGTCCAACACGGCGCACGACCAGCTAAGGACAAAGAGAAGAAGCGGAAGAAAGAACGCTGGAGATTGTCCAAGACAAAGCAGGAAACGTCGAGCAGCGACTCCGACGCAGAATCCAAGTCCAAGAAGGGCGTAATAGAGAAGCCAGCAGAGAAGCCAACGGAGAAGCCAGTGGAGAAGCCAGCGGAGAAGCTAACGGAGAAGCCGAAGATTGATAAGGAAGAAATGTCTTCGGATAGCGACGACGGAAAGAAGAAAAGGGAGAATACGAACGAAATTGAAATCGATACTCCCCGTTGGTGGAAGTTGGGATTGAAGAAAAAGCAGGACTCGATTGGTAGTAAAGGGGATCGTGAAGAAGACGACAAGGAGCAGGGCCATCATTCCATCTGGCAGAAGATCAAAACCATAGGTGCACCCAAGGACCAGTCCAAGGCTAATCCTGATTATGAGAATTTGCCAGCGGGGACCGCAAACGTGGATGTGGATCAGCATGTTGTTCATTACGAAAACGTGCCATCTGGAATGCTTAGAGCGGATCTGGACCAGAGTGGTGTTCATTATGAGAACGTACCATCTGGAATATTAGAAGCAGATCTGGACCAGATTAGCGCTCATTATGAAAACTTGCTTTTCATTCAATCGCATATGGACATAGATCAGAGTAGTAACGCGACCCAGACGGTCGATGGCAAACTTGGGATCGAAGATTTCCATCTCCAAGTGGAGCCTGAGATGAAGACAGAAGGCGAGTTGGAGGTGGAGGTTCCTGTCAACCTCACGAGTTATAACTTAGAAGCCTCAGCCGGAAACGTCTTCCAACTTGCAGACGAAGATGTGAGACCGCCCAAAAAGCCAGAAGGAATCTGGGATAAGCTGAAATCCAAGGTGGGCTCGGAAGGGGATGCTCCAAAGCCGACAGTTGAAGTCCAAGCACATATCGAGGAATCAAAGGAAAAGAAGCACAATGGTTATCGTTGGCATTTGGGCAAGAAACACGACAGAGAGAGTGCGGTCGATGATGGCGGGTCGAAAGAAAAGATTGGAATCGAACTAGACACATCGAAACATCAGAGGGAGAAGAAGCATGATAAAAATTGGTGGAAGCTGGGCAAGAGGCGCGACAAGGATGCCACTTCAGAAAGTGACAGCGATAATGAGGACAAAGAGAAATCGATGCTCACCAAAGATTTACCTGGAGCCTCCAAAACGGAAGATAAAGAAATCTCAGTCAATGGGAAAGACGAGGGGGAGAAGGAGAAATCAAACAAGAAAAAACTAGATTTTCAATTTTGGAAGCTTCGGAAAAAGCGAGAAAAGGATGGGACATCGACATCTGGCAGTGAAAGCGACGACGAACCGAAAAACCGTGTTCTAACGTCCGAAACAGAAACAGATGGAACATCTGGGGGAATCCCAGTTACGAAGCAAGATGAGAAAAAGAAAGCTACAAAAATGTCCAAGAAAAAGACCAAGACAGATAGCTTCCCTTCCCATAAGAGGAGTAAGAGGCACACTAAGAACAAGGAAAATGAAAAAGACAAGGATAAGGACATGGATGCCATTTCAGTGAGCGAAAGCGACGAGGAGATTAAGAAGGAAAAGTCTGACAAAGTCGCAGGTGGGAAAATGAAAGGACAGCATGATCACGGTCTCTTGTGGAAACTGAAGAAAAAGCGCGACAAGGACTCCGGTTCCAAGAGTGCCAGCGACGACGAAGAGGGAAAAGACGGGAGGAATCCAAATGAGAAAGTGTCTAAGGAGGAAGCTAAACCGATCTCGGCAGAGACAGGGGAAAGCCATGATAGGAAGTCGTCGGCGAAAAAGAAGCAAGAGGGCAACTGGTGGAAGGTGAGCAAAAAGAATGACAAGGACAATCTGACGGACTCAGACCGAGAGAGCGATGAAGACGATGCCAGAGAAAGGAAGAAGACGGAGAAGCCGGTCAAGGAAGTCAAAGCCTCCAATGGGGTAAGCGAAATATTCTCGGCAGAGAAAATAGAGGGAAAGAAAGAGAGAAAATCGTCTCATAAGAAAAGAGTCGGCCACTTCTGGAAACATGGAAAGCATGATGAGGGCACCAGTTCCGAGAGTGAGAGTGATGACGAAGCAAAAGAAAGGGCAGGATCTTCACGAGACAAGAAAGCAGCGATTGATGAAGAATTGCAACCTGTCTCATCTAGAAAAGAAGACGACCACGATGACGAAGAATCATCCTCCAAGAAGAGACGAGAAGGCCACTGGTGGCAGTTGAAGAAAAAGCACGACAAGGACGACTCATCACAAAGCGAGAGTGACACAGAGGAATCGAGAGGAAAGCTGAAGTCCCCAGAGATCGCAATGGAAGTCCCAGTAGTTACGACTGAGAGAAAAGACAAGGACGAAAAGTCATCCACCAAGAAACATTGGTTTAAATTAAGCAAAAAGGACACGAGTTCGCAAGATGGGGAAGACGAAGTCCATGGCACGAAATTCGAGATCGAAAAGCCAGTCAAGGAGGAAAAGTCTTCCAAACAAGAATCCAAAGGCATCGTAGGGGAGAAGGGAGACAGTGACGAGGAAAAAGATGAGGGAAAGTCTTCCATGAAGAAGAAGAAGCTAGACATCCATTGGTGGCATTCGAAAAAGAAGGAAGAAAATGATAATGGGAGTGAGACCGGAGATGAGAAACCAGAAGAACCCGCGCCCAAGAAGGAACGAGTCGTCGTCAACGCAGAGATGAACGTATCGCCTAGTGTGGAAATCAAACAGGACGAAGGAAGAGCGTCCCAGAAGAAGCACCACGGTAACTGGTGGAAATTCGGCACGAAGCACGATGAGAAAGTTGGATCCGAGACCGAAAGCGAAGACGAGGAGGACAAAGAGCATGAAAAAGACGAAAGGAAGGAGAAGAACAGGAAGCATGGCCTCAAATTGTGGAAGAGTAAAAAGAGAGAGGCAGGAAGTGCTTCCAGCGAATCGGATGATGAAAAGATGGAGGTAGACACGACCGTGACGATCCAGGAAGAGCCAAAAAAGGCTGTATCTTTTGGGGTGGTGGAATGCCCGGTGGGAATGGAAATCCGTATCGATGACCGCGTTTTTGAAGGTGAAGACGGGGGGAAGAAGGACGAACAAACGTCAGTACACGAAGAAGAGTTGTTACCATTGAACGAGGGAAAGATATCAAGGAAGAAGAGTGACAAAGAAACACACGGGAAGCATTGGTGGAAGTTGGGTAAAAAACATGAAAAAGGCACTAGTTCTGAGAGTGAGAGCGACGATGAAAAGACGAAGAAAGAGCCCAAAGTGAAAGAAATAAAGATAAAAGTCGCAAAAGAGGAAACAAAGGGCTTATCTGGAGCTGCAGAAGAGGGAAAATCATCTCTGAAAAAGGAGCAAAAACAATCTGACTATTGGTGGAAAATGAGCCAAAAGCATGAAAAGAGAACCGATTCGGACAGTGAGAGCGATGAGAAGTCAAAAGAGACCAAGCTACCCGGGATAGAAGAAGTTGTCGAGGAGGAAGCCAAGAATTTATCCGCAGAAAAGAAGGGGACGGAGGAGGAGATGAAGTCTTCCAAGAAAAAAAGTGATAAGTATTGGTGGAAGTTAGGCAAGAAACACGAGAAGGAAGCTTCCTCAGAGAGCGAAAACGATGCAGAGGAGACGAAGGAAGAGAAGCCCAAGTTGTCGGATGCAGACAAAGAGATGTCCAAGAAGGAGTCAACCGATTCATCTGAAATTAAGGACGAGGTGGAAGACAGAAAATCGCCAGCCAAAAAGAGCAAACGAGATGGCCACTTTTTGAAGCTGGGCAAAAAGCACGACAAAGATACTTCGTCGTCGTCATCCGAAAGTGAGAGTGACGAGGACGTAGAGAAAGAAAAATCCACACCAGGTACGAAAAAAACTACGTCCAAGCAGGAAAACGTGAGAGAAGGAGCAGAAAAGTCTTCCTCTCTGAAGAAGAAGCACGGTGGCCTCTGGCGGAAGTCGGAGAAAAAACAAGAAAAAGACCCTGGTTCTGACAACGACGCTCACGACAAAGGGAAAGAAGGGAAGGATGACCACTGGTGGAGCGTGAAGAAAAAGCATGGCAAGGACGAAGAGATTCACGAGGTCCCCAACAAGGGAAAAGAAGAGACCAATATCGAAGGATCGGTCCTGACGGATATGTCCTTCGAAGTTTCTATCGAGAAGGAAGAAAAAGCATCAAACAAGACCCATGATGGCCAATGGTGGAAGCCGAAAAAAGAAAAGCAGAGGAAGGGCGCCGCGTCTGAGAGTGAGAGTGAGGATGAAACTAGAAAAACGGCATCTGAAACTCCAGTAATAGGCACAATGGTGGCAGAAGAAGCGAAAGCTACAGCAGAGAACAAAGACGAGAAACATGATAAGAGGAAGGAGAAGAAACACGATGGGCACTGGTGGAAGGTGGGGAGAAAGCACGATGGGGAAGAAGTATCGGAGAGCGAGAGCGATCAGGAGTCAAAAGAAAGATTCAAGTCCATATGGACTGAGAAAGAAGTGTCACAGGAGGTAGCGTTTGAAATCTCGGCTGAGAGAGAGGACGAAGAAACGTCGTTCTCGAAGAAAAAGCACGGTGTTCATTGGTTCAAATTAAGCAAGAAAGGCGGAAAGGATGCGAGCTCTCAAATTGGGAATGACGACGAAGGCCAAGTGCCCCCGAAGGAGCCCGAAGTCGAGAAGGAAGGTGGAGTAGTCATGGCAGAACCTGAGAGAAAGCCTTCGACGAAAGGGAAGTCTAAGCATCACGGGCTCCTGTGGAAGATCGGGAAAGGGAAGAACAAAGACATCGACTCCGACAGTGAGAGTGAAGATGAAAAGGAAACGAAAACGAAGGATGAGAGCGGAGAGACGGTGATAGTTACAATGGAAGGAGAGAAGGGGAAGGACAATAGGAGTGATTCGCTGAAAAAGAAACACGCTTGGTGGCCCCTTGGAAAAAAGCAGGACAGCCAAGCGTCCTCCAAAAACGAAAAGGACGTCAGTTCGAAGAGTGAGAGTGACGACGAGGAAGGAAAAGAAAAGTCGAAAGTGTCCGAGTCTTTAGAGGAAGTACCGAGGGAAGAAGTCGAACCTCTCCTTGCCATAAAGCGAGACAGTCAAGTAAGGAAGTTGTCAGCGAAAGAGAAACGAGAGGGCCACTGGTGGAAGCCAGGCAGAAAGAACAAGGATGATCTGACGAGCTCCGACAGTGAGAGCGATGAAGACGGAGCAGAGGTAAAGGTAAAGACTGACTTCACGGCCAAGGCAAACGAAGAGTCCAAGGAAGAAACCCGAGTATCCCATGCCGAGAAAAAGGGGGAAGAGGAGCGAAAATCTTCACAGAAGAAACGAGTCGGTTACTTCTGGAAGATCGGCAAAAAACAAGGAGGAGACACCAGCTCCGAGAGCGAGGGTGAAGCAGACAAACTCAAGGAGAAGAAGGAAGAACCAACGTTTCCGGACGTACAGAATGAAATCTCAGTCGGTGGCGAAGTCTCAGTCGAGTTGAAAGGCGAGGAAGAGGAGGAAAAATTGGCAGGGAAGAAGAAACGTGATGCCCGCTTTTGGAAGCTGAGCAAAAAACAGAAGAAGGGCACCATTTCAGAGAGTGACAGCGACGAAGAACCAGCAGCAGAAACAAACATTTTTCCAGAATCAGAAAGCAAGGCAATGAAAGAAACTTCTGCAAACAAGTCAGAGGAAGAGGCGGACGAGGAAAAGTCCGCAAAGGAGAAACGAGACAAGCACCGATGGAAGTTGGGCAAAAAACTGGAAAAAGATGACACATCAGAAAGCGAGAGCGATGAAGGAGAGTCGAAGAAAAAGCCAAAGTTACCCGAGACGGTGTCTAAGGAGGAATCCACCAAAGAGAGTAGGGATGATGGCAAAGCCTCCACGGAGAAGAGAAAGCACGATGGACATTGGTGGAGTCGTGGCAAAGAGCACGAGAAGGGGACCAGTTCAGATAGTGACAGCGACGAAGAGGAACCTAAAGGGAGACCAAAGTCGCCGGGAAGAGAGACGCTAACTTCCAAAGACGAATCAAAAGGAAGTCCTGAAAAGAGAAGAGACGAGAAGGACAAAAAGAAACAATCCGCGAAAGAGAAAAAGAAGCCCGATAGACGTACTAGGAAGCTTTCGTCTCACAGCAACAGCGACGATGAGAAGAGGAAAGAGAAGGAAGGAAGAGCTGAGGAGGACGAAGCAAGAGACACAAAGAAATCTCCTAAAGGCGAAACCCATGCCGAACATCGATGGAAATTGGGAATCGGCAGGAAGAAGCACTCGAGCAGCGAATCGGGCCACGAGGAACCGGAAAAGCCCGCCAAGGAGAAAAGGGAGAAATCCCAGAAGGTGAAGCAAGAGAGGCACTTCTGGGTCTCGAGTAAACGCCACGAGAAAGAAGGAAACCCACTGGACGATAAAATCCACTTGCAAATAGAAGAAGCTCCGAGGAAGGCAGAAATCTACGAAACGGTTTTGGTAGAAAAGAGTCCAGAGGTGACCGCTGACAAGGAAGCGAAGAAATCCTGGAAAGATGGTTCGCGCTGGAAGCTTCGAGCGAAGAAGGACAAGGACGAGAAGGCAGACAACGAGTCCGAGCAAGAAAAATCCTCGCCAAAAAACCGAAAGGAGGACAGAAACGAAGAGAAGCATAAGGAGAAGGAGGAGAATGAGAAGGAAGAGATAAAGAAGGAGGTGGAAGAAAAGGAGAAGGAAAAGCAGGAGGAGGAAAAAGAGAAAAGGGAGAAGGAAAAGAAGGAGAAAGAGGAAAAGGAGAAGAAGGAGAGGGAAAAGAAGGAGAAGGAGGAGAGAGAGACAAAGGAGAAAGAAAAGGAAAGGAGGGAGATGGAGGAGAAGGAGAAGGAGAGGGAAAAGAAGGAGAAGGAGGAAGAGGAAAGAGTGAAAAAGGAGAAGGAGAAGAAGGAGGAAGAGGAAAGGGTGAAAAAGGAGAAGGAGAAGAAGGAGAAGGAGGAGAAGGAGAAGAAGGAAAGGGAAAGGAAGGAGAAGGAGAAGAAGGAGGAGGAGGAAAAGGTGAAAAAGGAGAAGGAAAAGAAGGAAAAGAAGGAGAAGGAGGAGAAGGAGAAGAAGGAAAGGGAAAGGAAGGAGAAGGAGAAGAAGGAGGAGGAGGAAAAGGTGAAAAAAGAGAAAGAAAAGAAGGAAAAGGAGGAAAAGGAGAAGAAGGAAAGGGAAATGAAGGAGAAGGAGAAGAAGGAGGAGGAGGAAAAGTTGAAAAAAGAGAAGGAAAAGAAGGAGGAGAAGAAGGAAAGGGAAAGGAAGGAGAAGGAGAAGAAGGAGGAGGAAAGGGAGAAAAAAGAGAAGGAAAAGAAGGAGAAGGAGGAAAAGGAGAAAAACGAGAAAGAAAAGGAAAAGAGGGAGAGGGAAAAGAAGGAAAAGGAGAAGAAGGAGAAGGAAAAGAAGGAGAGGGAGAAGAAGGAGGAGGAGGAAAAGGTGAAAAGGGAGAAGGAAAAGAAGGAAAAGACGGAGAAAGAGAAGAAGGAAAAGAAAGATGAGGAGGAAACGGAGACGGAGGAGAAGAAGGAGAAGGAGAAAAAGATTAAGAAGGAAAAGAAATATGAGGAAACGGAGATGGAGGAGAAGAAGAAGGAGAAGGAGAAAAAGGTTAAGAAGGAGAAGAAGGAGGAGGAGGAGAAGGAAAGAGAAAAAGACTTGCGAAGGTCTTCGAAAGGGAAGCAGGAGAGTCACTGGTGGAAACTGAAGACAAAACAGGGTGACTCCTCCAGTTCAGACAGTGAATCTGATGAGGACAACGAGAAGAGAGAAGGAAAACCAGAAAACGGGGATTTGAGGAAGTCTAAGGAAAAACATGATCACCAATGGTGGAAGGTAGGGAAGAAGCAAGAAAAAGATCTCCAAGAGGAGAAATACATGAAGAAAGGGGAGGGCGAAGAGGTGCAATCACGGAAGTCCTCGAACGGAAAGCTAGATCATTCCGCTCGGAAGCGGAAGATGAAGAAAGAGGACACCAATTCCGACAGAGGGAGTGAGAACGGGGAGGGGAAGGTCAAGGACGAAGACATTCTAATGATCGTGAACAGTCCTCCCCATCGAGGGATCGAAGGACCCGTAAAGGCCACTCCCATGATCGTGGTAACCCAAAGCCCCGTGAACGAGGGGAAGGAGGAAGTAGAAGACAAGATGGTGAAGGAAGAAAGGAGTGGACACGCGAACGGAGTCACAGAATTCCCGGCCTGGATGTCCCCCATCGAGGCTCACGGAAACAACGCTGGCGATGACGCAAGTGAAGGAAGAAAGGAAAGTAGCAGAATTCTTCAACTCACACCCAGGCTCCTGGCCAGGCTATTCTCTCCCAGCAGACGACAAGGGAGAGGCAAGTCTTCCTCCACTCCCGTATCAAAGTCCGCTCAAGAAAAGGAAGACTTGGAGAAGCAGACCGTACCTGAACCGCCAACGAACTCGATACAGACGCCCCCGAAAACGACAAATTACGACACCGGCGTGTCTGTCGGTCTTGCTCACAACGAAAAGCTCGTAGACTACGAGGAAATTTCTTGCGTCGATTCCCACGTCTCAACAGAGCTTCATCCGAAGAAGAGTATCGAAACCCTACGAAGGGAATACTTCGAGAAGATTCTCTCCGACACTCGACATTCCATCCTCACGTCTCACGTCTGTTTCGGGAGACACGAAGGTGCGGTCTGAAACTCACGCGTCGCTTTTCCTCTGAAATTTTCATTTATTTCCATATTATTATTAATAATTTGTTGATTAGATTTTCGAGAGATGGACCGAGACGATTTGAGGCATCTAGTCGAGAGACTGGAGAGAGCTGCGATGCAATTAGAAGCTCTTCGAGACACGAGCCTTCTAGAACACCTGCAGTGCCCCCCATCCACACGTGAGTCCACTGAAAAGATCCTCCCCCATTTCCCCACGTGACTTGCATACACCCTTCCATACGAATGTCTTCTGGATGACGCGACGTTACAGCCTCGAAGGAGGGAGAGGAGTGCCAGGAGGCATTGCTGAACAGGTTGGAAAATGTGGCCGCCAGGCTGGAGGCCCTGCACCTGAGCCAGTCCTCCGACTCTCTTCATTTATCCGGTCCGCATCTTCTCAATCCCAACTCGTCTTGGAAGAGATCCTGATCGTACCTTTACCTTCTCCCTCTCTTCGTGTTGCAGGTGGTGTCGAGTGGTCGCACGAGGCCGCGGCTTGAAACGTGGCTCTCGGCTCGAACGCAGCAACGAAATATACGCTTCTTTGTGCCAAGAGTGCTTGTGATACGATACGTGTTTCAATGGCTTGTTGTCATTGTTCGGATCCTTTGTCTTGGCGTGTTTCGCCTGCCTTTCAGTATTATCCTCAATAACAACTTTTTTAATTCTGTGTTTGTAATAAAAGAAAATTACGTGCCAGCAAAAGGAAAGATGGATCATAGAAGTTGCCAGAGCTTTTATGTCAAAGGATATGGTCCCAATAGTTACATACATATATAACAGCATAGAATGAGTCACACGAGCAGGAGTGTGATTATTTCCGGCCAAAGCGCTCTATTGAATGACGCACAGCCTTGGCTTCTCTGCTTCGCTTTCCTGGAAAAAATATCAAGATCGGCGTGATTAAACTTGGACTAATCTGATTTCGTAATTGCCCCCAATGGAATGTTTAACCGAGTCAGTCTCATTTCCACGGAGACCCACTGCGAAGTCAAATCACTTAAACGGATCTCGCACCAGCCATACTTTGGACATACATGTGGACTTAATAAATCGTATGAATCTTTCGGAAGGGAAAAGTGAAAATAGTCTGACCTTGGTTGATAATGCCGATAGACTCCCTCCCACGCTGGAATCAATCTGCCATCGAAGATTTATTATTATTTCAGGTAAATAAAGCAACGGAATGAAGTTTGTTGAGGGCATAGCCCTTCTTTAACCTGCTGAGAAGCGTCGGAATGGTGGGAATCTTTGGCCTTCCTCATCCTCAAGCTCTGTCGAAGGGTTTTCCACATTCCACCCCAGGACCCTTCGTTTGCCTCTTCCTCCCGACTTTCTCGTTCGTTCTGGGCCTTTGGTATCGGGGAGAATCGGCACGATTTCGTCTTTTTTCACGTTCGTGCGGGAGGGAATTTCGAGGATACCTGGGTTTCGTTCTCTTGCCAGATGAGGCTGAGCTCTTCGGGAATAGAAACGAAGCCTTTCACTCGAACCGTGGATGGAGGGTCCTGGGAATCCACGTATTTCCCTCTCCGGTAACCCGGCCTCGCCTTCGCGACACAGGAAACATCCCCAACTTCCTCAAACCTCCCTTCTATGGATGCGCACCGCATGACGTGAGAGAAAACATGGGCCACGGAGGACTCACAGGGACTTTGGTCTTCTGGCCACGTCTTCCTTTCACCGTCCATGGAACCGTATGGAGTGTGGTCCCCATTCGTCGCTGACCCCTCAACTTTAAAAGAAAACAGACGTATTTTTGTGGTTTCTCGTAAAGGTGTGAAATTAAGGTAGCAGGAAACTCATACGTGCGAAAGGTCGTACAGTGGTTCCGACATCTTCTTCTTCCGAATTTCTCTTTCCGCCTTTGGAGTAATATCTCCCGACTGTGTCGTTTGGGCAATATCTGCCGACTGTAATCAGCTTTGGTCAGATCTAAATGAAGATTTCACCGAGGAAAGCAGAGAAGGAAGGTCTTACGGAGTGTCTTCTGCCCACAGCTTGGAGATAAGATCCATTCCTCGGCAAATTGTTCTTTATTTCCTGCTCGTCTTCCTGTGTCTGGTATGGAAGCACCAAGGAAAGTCGATTATCACTTTTTCGCCTTTTTTGAGCATGAGATTATACTAGATGCAGACTTACAGCCATGATGGAAACGCTGATCCTGAGGCGCCTTCACTTTCGGGGAAATCGAGCATACTAGAGGACGAGGGAGGGCGGTGAAAGGAGGGTAAACGAGATAAACCAAATATCTCATTATCTACATGAGGATTGTTTTAGCCATTTCCGTGCGGCTTTGTTCCTTGCATTGCTTTTTTTTTGTTTGCCAGAAAATAAACAGGCCGAAGGTTGCACGTGCGCCGGCGGGAGATCTTGCAGGACAGATATTCCCTTCCTGTCTCCCTCTTTGTCGTGGGCGGCTGCGCTTTGCCTGGACGACTTCCTTGCTCATTTTTTTCCTTCTCCTTGGTGACTATGTCTCTGCAATCTGACACCCTGGAAGATAGGGAGAGCGAGCAGGTGTCTTCTAGGCGAAAGGGAAGCCGAGGGTGCCGAGAGGGAGCGGAAGGATTCCTACCCCTTCCAGCACCCGAAATGGAAGGGACCGAAAGACGACGAGAAGAGAGAAGTGACCGAGGACGAGAAGAAAGCCATGCGGAACACCAGGACGGATCGGGAGAAGAAGGCGAGTCGGGAAAGGAAGGGGAGACTCGAGGGAATCCTGCAGAAGCGGCAGAAGTCGGCAGCGCCGAAGCCGCATAGAACGAATGCTCCCTGAGCAAAGCGTGGATCATGCGGAACGAGAACGAGGAGGGAATGGGATCGGCGAGGATTCTCGAGGAGAGGGGTATGAGAACCCAAGAGAAGGCTGATGCGGCCGACGCGGGAATCTTTCCAGTCCGAGCGGGAAGATGTTCAAGAATGCCTCACCTCGCCCATCTTTCGCACTTTTGGCTTTCGCATTCGGGGATACGTTGATATACGAGTATTTAAAAATCGAAGGGAAGAGAAGTTGGGGTCTGCCCACAACCGTCGGTCTTCGGCACAAAATATCTCGATTTTCGAAGATGGGCAACGTCCCGCATTCTTCGAGCCTTCCCGTCTCGCTTCATATTCCCCACGTCGACGTCAGCCTACAGATGAAGTCATTAAGATCAAGTCCTGATGTGTTGTCTTGTCCACGAGGACCTCGGTGAAACTGTCATTCAACCAAAATCAAGTGACTTTTACCCCTTCAAATCAATCGTGCATCGATTTGACTCGTCAGTACTTTATGCAAATAAAATCTCAGGATACGATTTAAATCAGATTTAAAACAAATACTGATAAGGTTAAAGCCCTCGTTTACATGTGAAACGTGGGGGTAGCGAATCCGGATGGCGTGTTGAGGACCGACAATTTCCACATTTCTACGGCTTTCTCTCGTCTCGGCTACAATGTAGGCTCGCCGAGATTCCCTGTCGACGAAGAGTGCAACCAAAGTGGAAACATTTTAAACGGTTGTCCATTCTCCTTCGTTACGGGCATCAGAGAGGATGTCCTTCACGGGGAAAAGCGGCGGAAATTGCTCTCCCGCCCTCCGTGCCGCCCTCCGCGCCTCTCCGCGTGTCGCCCTTCGTGCGTACTTCACACTATCTGGATTCACAGTTGCCAACTGACGCAACCGATGAGTGCTTTTCCCGGCACGACGGTGCAACTGCAAAGAATCGCATCCGAGACTCCGGAAGAGCCGCCGCGAACCGCCGTCGGACGAGCCTCATCGAGGAAGCAAGTCCTCTTCGTGCAATCGAATGCCTAGCATTCGACCGAGGGTGTTGGAAAAGTAACTTACTATATCAAATTTTTTCTCTCTCTGGTTGGAGATAATAAGAACCTTGGTGCATCTAACGAGTGACTCTCGCTTTATCCCTTCGCACGATAGCAATACGTTTCACGGTAAAGGAAACAGTTAAATTCCAGGCTCTTCACGAACCGCTCTGCATTAGCAGTCCAACAGTTGATTCCACCCGATAGCTGGACACCTGTAGCCTCTGGTAGCTCTTATTGGTAGTTTCTGGTTACTCTTCCCGGTAGATTTGCTTGCTCTCGGCAGCCGGACTGCAATTGGAGAAAGCCAGACTGTTCGATATGCTTCGATTGCTCATTGCTTCACCGTGAAACGACATGACAGAGTCTCTGTTTTGAGTCTCTCGAAACCTGATGAACCACTTTATCGAGTAGAAAAAGTTTGCTCCAACTTCAACTCAAACCCGAAGAAACCGAGAAAAGTTTCTATTAATCATTTATATTTCAAACACATAATACCGTGTTGAGAGATTAAAAAGCCAAAGACTGTCTGTAAAGGTGACTCCCATCACCCCATTTCTTCCTTCCTTTTTACCATTCCTTCATTACGCTTTGGGGTCGTGATCCCCATCAACATAAGCTCGGATTATGTTGATAAACTGAGGGGGGGGGGGGGAAGGAGTTCCTCGGAGGCTGTTTCTCTGTTCGTAACGAGGATTCTAAACATTCTCCCCTCGTCGATCACTGAAAAAAAAAAAAAAAAAATAGAGGCACGGTTAGCGTCCACCTGGCCATCTGTTGAATCCTGAAAACGATATCGCTCTTTTTCGGGACGTAGGAAGTGAATTAGCCCGATTCTCCTCGCTAGCCTCTCGTTATCGACCGTGGAGAAATCGTTTAACCTCCTCGCATTGCATGTGAGGAATGCACGGGCGAGAAGCGAATTGCACCGCACACGTGCGGTCAAGGAGAATGGAGATGAGGCACAGTTGAAACATGACCGACCGCAACGGCAGAATCTATCGTCACGCGCGGCCCCACTATTCATCCGTATGGATTGCGTCGTCTCGCGGCATGTTACGCAGGGACAGACGATGTGATGCGAGGCACGGATCTCCTCATTCATCCGGCGTTGGTCCATCCGTGCGTCGGTCCATCCATGCGTCGGTCCATCCAGAATAGGTCTATCGGTCTTCGATCTTCCCGGTATGCCGACACGGAAAAAGGATTAACGCATAGGAGTCGTAAGTGATGAGTGAAATGCCATTGTCTCTCTACGATGGAGATGCACACGCTCGATGAAACGGCCAAGTTTACGTCCCATTTTCACATTACGCGCTGTATCACGGTAGATGAGGAATTTTTCAAGGCTGAGTGCCTCGGCATAAAAAGCGTCAAATTTTTTTGTTGCCGGGAAGAGGAGGGGGGGGGGGGGGGGGGGGGGGGGGGGGGGGGAAGGCTCGAGCCCCCGAGCTCCTTTTAATCGCCACCTTTCTCGGTGAAGGCGAACGTGACTGTTTATAGGGCTCGTAAAAAGTTGAAATAAAAGTGCGGCAGGACACGAGGCAGAGGGATATCCGTTTCGCTCGGCCTTGGAGATGCATTACCTCCGGCCAGACTTGCAGTTAGCATTCTCCCGTTTGATCCTTGTTTCGGATTCGACTGGTTTTGCAAGAGGGCTCGTTCCACGACGATCGAGAGGAGGAGCGGGACGTGGACCGGATCCGGCTCGTGATGCGGGGGAAGCCGGACGGCATCACGTGCCCCCCTGGCGGCGGGCCGCGCCTACGGACCGTCATTCCGCTCACAGCAAGCCATTTTGCAAAATCGATCATTGGATCTGAAACGTGGGCGAGGAGCAAAAATAAATGGGGTATTTAGATAGGCCTGTTCACCATCATCATGCCTGTAGATGTCGTAACTGGTTCTAAAACGTTCCAAGTCGAGATTGTAATTACTCGTCCATCGATTCGTGATTTTTTTTGGCGTCCTCTGCTACGCAAGAGTACAGTGAAGATGTGGTACAAGGCGGTCAAGGCGTTTCCTTGGAAAAATGTATCATCCATCTTTCTTGCGTCGTAAATCGCTGTTGAAAGAAGAATAAATAAGGATTTTTTGGGGTTATGCTGCCTCTCCATTCCGGAGAGCAGCCCTTCATCCTCCATTCCCTCCCCTCCCTCCTCTCCCTCGCCTTCTTCTCCTTTTCCTCTTTCTCCTTCTTTTCCTTCTCCTTCCTTTCCCTTTCCTTCTTCTCCTATGAAGGTCGTTCGTGCAAGATAGCCCTATCTATGACTCAACATCGTCGTTTTGTGTCAACTCACAGGGGGTAAGACTAAACAAAGGAAAGTTCCACCGAACTTCCCCATACCCATCCCTCGACCATATCACGGGATCACTTTTGGAATTCAAGTGCAGGAACTCGCAGCTTCATGACTCAAGTTATGCTGGTTCCTCGTGTCATCGCCTTTTCCCGCTTGCATGTACTTTCCCGCTATGGTCAGAGAAGACCCAAGCTCTGTATGGAGGTGTAGCTTCACGACAAGGTGTAGTAGGTACGAACTTCTGCGCGTGATTCCCTCTTCAATAATAAGCAGCAGTATCCTCAAAACAGATCCTCCAAACTCCAAGACAACGAGAATCCGTACTAAGATATTGTGCTTCTTCCGTAACTTCCTTCGGATCCGACCTTGGAACGGCTCCTAGGGTGGATTTTTGAACAGAGAACTATCCGATAATGCAGCTTTATTCCAAGGAAAATACATATTTCCTGGAAATAAAACAGCATTATTGGATAGTTCTCAGTTTAAAAATCCACCCCTACTAATTAAATGTCTACCAGAAAAAGCATGGACCCTTCCCACATTGATCCATGGCTTCTAATGACCAGGTGAAACCAGGACATCGCGTACACATCATTCTGGAATCGGACCATAATTATGTCCTTGGAAACGCGCGTTGGGCTGCCCTTCTGCGCAGGGGAATGCTTCGTGCTGAGCATCGCGATTCTTGCCATGTAGATCTTTGAGAACGTGTCTACACGAGAATCTCCTAGCAGCTTTCTCAGGATGACATGGCGATACCCTGTTTGTCTGTGGATGTTTGGATATGGGCTCCCCAAGGCCTGTTATTCCCCGTCCAGTAGCTGTCACCCTGGCGCAGCTGTGCTAACCCAACGAACAGGCCGATGGACAACAATGAAGGATCTTGGGCTGTCATGGAGATAATTCGTTCGACTTGCCCCTGCGATCCAAGCTGATCCTCTCTGGATTCTGTTTTCAACCATGCCCATTTTGGTCTGGTGTCTATCGCTATCTATGACGTTCGATCGGCTGCCGTCCATAGAAGGGAAGTTTCCCTCCTCTCAGACCCCTCCTTTTAGTACATGAAACGACGCCGCACTGAGGAAGGGGCTAGATCGGCTATTTTAGCCCGCCGCACGCGAGGCAATATTTGTTGCTCCACCGTCGCACAACCGTCGCTCCACACGATATTGCTCCGTGTGCAGGGGTGCTGCGATGTCGTGCGACCATCGCAGGATATTGCTCCCTGCTCAATTTCCCTGCGATAAATATTGTCGTCGCTCGACTGTTGCTCCGTGTGCAGGGGTCCTGCGATGTAGACCCGCCCAAATTCTAGCATCGACCAATCACATTGCTTGCAGATTGCTCCGTGGCCTCCGGGGTCTCATCTGTGACGGTGGAGCAGCAAAAATTGCCTCGTGTGCAGCGGGCTTAACCATTCTGACGGAAGAGGGAGACCACAGGTACGAACGGGATAGAGATGAGATGGGGAAGATGAGATTGATGAGTCGAAAGGAGAAAGGATAAAATGGATGGAGGATTAAGGAACGCCATCACTGTTCAACTATAGTACGTCCGCGAGAGAAACACCAGTCCCCACCCTATCTATCGAATCCCCGTTGTTTTTGCGGGAGGGAGTTAGTTCACTTTTATATCATTATCAATACCTTATATTGCTTGAGGGTTTATTGCTTTGGGCCGTAATTACAGTATATCGTAAAACTTAATGTTTTCTTTGGGGCGACTTACGATCGCGTCACCACGTATATTTGCATTTTTTATCAGCTGAAAGCGTGGGAACTGGTCGGGATCGCTGAATCGAAAACCGTAGTAATCTCCTGGGTGTAGGACCGAGTTATGTGAGGCAGAAAAATCAAGAGACCAAGCCCAGGTAGGATTGAATAAACTTAAGACAAAGAAATACCAATAGATGAATTCAAAATGTTGGCAAGGGCAGGGCGAAAAAGCTTTGGACCAGATGAACTTCGGAGACAAAGTACTAATTGCAGAAACCAGATGCCACGCAAGACCGTAAAAATCTTTGACCGAACAGACATAGGGGAGCGGCACCAGTTAGCGAACAGTGAGTCAGTTAGCGAACGAGGGTCCTGAAATACGATTTGGCCCCTTTGTTTCTCGGGTTACACGCTCCAGATTTTGGTATCTGCAGAAAATGGATTGATTGATTAATTAAAGCTTGGGATGGAGTGTGAAACTAGTGTAACAAAAGGCCAAATCGCATTTCATGACCCTCGTTCGCTAACTGGCTCCCTGTTCGCGAACTGGTGCCGCTCCCCTAGCTAAAAAAATTAGTTTTACCATTGTAATATTTAAAAAATTAATCCTGAACGTATCGTACTGAAAATGCACGAGAAGAGGAAACATGGGCCTTCGACACTATTCAACTTCGGTATCGAGGTTGCCGAAGAACAAGGTCATGCAAAAGCCCCAACTCGAAGAATTCAGTTTCACGATGTGGCTACCAGTCCCATTGCAAAAGGAGAGCAGGAAGAGAAGAATGTCCTAAAGGGGATATCTCCTGTTTTGCAGTTAGAACAAAGCTATGTTTCCAAGCATTTTTGGAGGTTAAATTGGCAGTTTGGCGAATCCCGTTCCTGAGGACCAGATTGCTGCGAATCAGTATATATGGGAATGTCTCTGGGGATCTGTCCGATCAGTATCTGTAGAGTCACTGTTTTCATTTTATGTTTTCGAAACATAAGAAGCATTCAGCCCTACAAAGTTCGATTCCTAATGGCGTTCAGTCTATGTTTTGTGCTGTTATGCGCAAAAAGTTCGGGGAATTCAATGCCATGTTTTTTGTATCAAGGTTCTTTTTTTCGGACCAATGAAATTCGAATCTGCAGTAGTTCAGTTCAGTCTCATACTTTCCAGTGTCGAGATTTTACAGCTTATGTTTCTCGCTACCAAATTTTTTATGCTTAGTTTTTCCTCCTGTCGTGCCCGATGTCGGTCGCTCTGACGGATTGTGCCTGAGATCGATGTCGTCCACTTTCGTTCCGTCCTAAGCTTCCGTGCCCTCAACATTTATTTTCGGTCCAGCTGGGTTTCTGACATGCAAGGAAGTGTTTCGTGTTCCAATTCACTCGGTCTTATGTACTTATCTCGAGGTGAAAAAGTATATAGAAAAGGAGTTTTAATGCGTAAATTCAAACAAAGTCCCACAATGATGAGAGAGGGCGCACAGAGGCAGCGATGAGAGATCACAGAACAACACATTCCCCCAACTCGCCGCGTCCTTCCCGATTTCGGTCACGATGGGGTGGGGATGAAGGATTTTGGCCCCTCATACCCTGAGGCTGAAACTGAGCGAGGGGAGAGACCCTTCTCACTTCATCTGGTCCTAATGACATCTGTGAGATAGAGCTGGAATGCTTACAGCTGCACGTGAGTGGACCACATTCTTCTTCTTCCTGAAGCTGTTCCTAAAAGTCTTCCAGATTCCTTCACTTTCTCTGGGTTCGGAAGTCTAGAGATGAATGGATTATGCAACGGCCAGGTGTAATATCATAGGGGAGGGGGGGGGGGGGGGGGGGGGAAGAAATAAATTATATGTTTTTGTATTTTACCTTGAGCCCTATCTCGTCCATGGGAGGAAATTCCTTGAAATTTGTCATGTACACGGGTCTCTTCTCGTCATACTTGTGAACGTGAGACTCGATATTGGAACGGTCATGTTGCAATCCCACGTTATCCGGAGTCGGATACTGCTCCTACAATAACAATTATCACAATTTTGTGGAAGTAATTCCAATTCTAAGCCAACTTCATTCCTTTACAATGGCCTTCTCTCACTGTCTGTGCGCCTGTTGTCAGGCTTGCCAAGTGACCAGAAGCCATGCTTCTTTGGCTTCCTCATCTGGGGCATGAACGTATAATTCTCGAGACTCGACATTCGAAGGCTTCGCCTTATTAGAAGGTTTGAATTTCATATTACCTTGTGTCCTTCGGGAGGTTAGATCCTCGATCTTTCGCTCGAGGCTGTCCGAAAAGAACGGTACATAATCTTTTCACACTGTCGTGTGACGTCGTTCAACATGTGTAATGTGGAAAGGATTGGTATGAAGGCAATACAAGTTATAGGAGGAAATCTCGAGATTTTTGGAAGCTCGTGGCATAGACAGTTCGGGTGAACGTCTATGAGTGAATTTAAGAATTATAAACAACACTTTTGCCCAAGGAACGAGAAACACTCCGCAGCTGCAGGGACTAAAGAACTCTCCATGACCCTCAAAATAGTTTTGTTCAATATTTCTTACTCCAAGTTCAGAAATGTAGACCTACCCGTTGGCCTTTTTCCTCGACTTTTTCGATTGATGGTTTCTGTTGCAGTCCCTTTTTCTCCATAACCTGGGAAACAAAGGAGTTTATGCCTTTCTGAGTAGGTCTCAGACGAGGAAACATGGCGAATTCGTTGGAACTCACTTGACCGATCGGTCGATTCGTTCCGCAGATGATCTCGGCTTGTCGCTTTGCTTCCCTCAGGATCTGGAGTCTTTCTTTGGAGTCGGGCCTTCCCTCTTGGAGCTCTGCGTCGATGCGGAGCTGGATGTAGTCCATCACTGTCATGCTCGAGGGATCCATGCTGCATTCGTTGAGCTCCAGCAATGTTTCGTTCACTTCCTTCAAAATTTTTGCCAGGGCTAACCAATGCTGTCGGAGCTTCTCCTGCACTCTGGGATACAGGCTGTTCCGAACATTCGCTCTGGAATGGTTCAGGACAAGTTCCGTCTCCTGCTTCTGTAGGTTCACGAGCCCCTGGAAACCTTTCAAGCAAACACGGCATGTGAAGTTCCCAGAGAATGAAAATTCGTCACGACGTTGGGAAGTAATCGAGACCCTGACTCTTTTCAAGTTGAATCTTGAGTTGGGCAACTCTAGTGTCCAGCGTGTCTTGTTCCGCCATGATCTCAGTAGTTATTGTCAGGCTGACGGAGGTTCGATCGTGGACAAACTGTGCATAATTTTCCTATTATCCGCACTCCAACGTCCCAATACGACTCGGCGAAACTCGTGTCCTTCTTTGAATTGTTAGTGGAATAGAAGACAGAATCGTTCACGTAAAGCAGTCGCTATATTATTGTTGTGGGATGTTCTTCACCTCGATAACCTCCTAGGATGGCGGTTCTCTGCAATTCAAGAAGGGGAAGATGGTTCCATGCCAAAACATTGATGCCAAAACGTCGACCGAGAGCTCTAGAGGTAACAGTTCCGTTCTTAAAGACAGTATCAGAGATAACAATGTTGTCCACATCGTCTCTACAAGGTAATCAACCACTGCTTTCTACTATAGCAGTATATGCTTTATACTTTATAGCAATTATGTATTATAATTTATGCTTCACAAAATGCTCATATAACTCACAGAAAAGAATACGGGCTGATTTACCCAAGCAATGATAGTATTTCCTTTCGGGCTAACTCGCAACTGATCAACTGATTGATCTTTTTGAATGCCGGGTTATCTTTCTTTGGACTTTCTCGCAAATGGTTTCCTTCCAAAGGCCCCCCACTTTTCATTTTCCTGTTTCTGGTCTCATTCGGCTCCTTCGTTCTTACCGCTTGGCTTTGCTCCTGGGAGAAAGCCCTAATTGACCTCGTGAAGGTCTTCCACTCCTTTATGCTTTCCGGCTCGCCAGCGTGGAAATTCCTGTTAGAGTGGGTTGATCCCACAAACCAGATTGCCCCTCGTTCTTCTTGTTGAGATCTTACCGCTCATATCATTGCACACTTTGACCTAGCTTAATAAAAATGGGGATTCCCGTAGGAATGGGTAGCATTACTTTTTAAAGGTACGACGTTGTCGGATTCTGGCAGCGTTACGGTATAAAGGAAAAAAGGCCTACGTTTTAGATGACTTTAAATTCTCTTTCCAATGTTTTGTCAATATTATAACAGTTAATTTTCGCATTTTCCAGAGACAGGATTCTCTTAAATTTCATGTTGCCGACCATTCAGATGCAGAAGCATAGTCACATTGAGAATGGGACTTTTAGAAGTGCAAACGATTCCGGATGAAAATTTGTTTGCTGTGCTATGCTTTTGACATTTTCTACGGGTTTCATCAGGACTGCAGCTGTTACGGCTGAGAGAGGGGAAATACCGAATGCATGGTGGAATTTAATACTGGGCAGGATCTTTGGCAAATGGCAAGAGTTTCGTTGCGATATTGACCAGAATCGACTTTGAGATTGAATCCTAGTTGAGATAATTATACCTTTGAGCATGACGATGCATCCTCACAGCATCTGGCTCAACGAGAGAGCACTGGACCTCGTTGAGTCGAAAATTGTAGCCCCTCAAAACAGTCCAGTCTCTCTAGTAGAGTACACTGCCTAGAGGGAATTACAAGGAAGAGTCTATCGGCATCGCAGGATCATTCATCATCATATCACAAGGCCACCATACGCCGCGAACGGGAAGATATCGCGATTCAGTTTTGGGAAAGCAATTCAGAAATCAACATTTGCAAGGTAGGGTAGGGTAGCCATGGGGACATATTAAGCAACTTTTTTGTTAAATCAACTATGAAGTGCGGGCTTTCATATTCGTGATGATGAATGTTTACGATGTCCAATAAGAATAAAACTCTTGGTTGTTTTTGGTTAACTGTATACATAACATGACAATCACAATAAGGTAGGTAGGGATGTTCCTATACCTCTGGAAACGCGCAACATATGGAAAAATATGGAGAGTTCAATGGATGCCAGACGAAAGTGCTGCCAGTGGCATGATGTTCCTGAAAATATGTACAACATATGAAGCGTTGCAGCTAAAAAAAAATAAAAGAAGTTCCAATTACCATTTGTGACCAATAAGCTATGTTATTAGACGGAAATATTTGAATTCGAGTGAACTGAGATTTTAACATTTCTGAAAAGGTTCGGACTCTGTCCTCGCCGTGGTTCTTTTACCTCCGTGTTGAATTGAACTCTGTCTTTTTGCTCGCTGGAAATGAGTTTAAAAATGTGAAAATACAACAATTTTTCGATATAGTGGCAGTTTCGTGGTTTTTTCAATTTTTTCAATACTTTGTTCTTGATGGCAACCCCTCATATTAACAAGGAAATCCTAAAGCAGGGAATCGAGGTCTGTCAAGGGTCCGTGCACAGAGCGGAAGACTGTCACAAGCACTCTCGCAGTTTTCTCCTGATCCTGGCTTCTTTGTTATGACATTGAAAAAGCTGACACTGTCACAAAGGAATAATTCCAAGCACCTCTCTCTCTCTCGCATGGTAAACAACAGAATGAACACATTTCGTGATGAATATGATCCTGTGTGACGCTCGGCAACATATCAATGTACACATCGCTCCAAGCGAAGCTTCCGGGACCTATCGACTTATCTGCCTTCCTCCATGTACCACTATCCTCCAGAGAATGTTCGCTCTTGCTCAAGATGGCATTTAAATGACAATTGGCCATCTCCAACAATCAACGAACTCTCTCATGAAGGCACGGAATCCAGGAATGGCATTATCTCATTGGAGATGAGGCATTCCCCCCAAACGAAACAATTTTAGCTGCCACTCCCATGAACATGGGAGTGGCAGATGTTGCAGATATTTCCACCTACGGGGAAATGCAGATATTGCAATGGACATGTCACTTTTCTTTTCGTTCCGCCTGTCCACAGTTACCTTAACAATCGGAGTACTGTTCTCGACTCAATCCGTATGTACAGTTTCAGCCTTTGTCGGCGTGTAAGTCGCCGACTAAAACTGCCTGTCCCCTACTAGCCCTAGCAGCAACAGGATCCATATTTGATAACGGAGATTGCAGCTGTCGTGATGTAGCATAGACAGGGTTGCCGAACGATCTCGTGAAATGCTGCATCTGGCATCCTACATGTTGTCTCCTTCCACCTCCGAGAATCTACCGCTGCAATATCAGATTACAATAATTCCAAGCCAGTAAATGCTTAATCCGTGCCATGCACTTGCCATGCACCTCTTCGTTTTTCATTCCATCTGTCAACATTTATCATAATAACCCATTGTGTAGGCGATGTGATAGGCTATTATTCAACTGAGTCTTTAGTATCAACGGGGCTTCACTGATGATGTGGTAGCAACTGGTCGCAAATCAGTGTCTATGATGACCAATGATAAAGGCCAGTTGAATGGTGGATTCTATGACAGAAACTTTGGTTGCGCATCCGACAGGGATGTTCAACCATGGTAGCCTCCCGAAGTTATGAAAATTAAATTTTAATTTCAGCTCCTTGGCTCGAATGGTTCTCGAGATATGCTGCCCCAAAGTTTATGCCATGAGGGAAAGTGACTTCATGGATCAGACGATTATCTTTAACCCTTATTTGATCTAGGAGAGTGTTTGTGATCCCAAATTTAAGTCAAACAATAGCCAAATCCGATTTGTCCTCTGAACTTTTCTGTACATAAAAAAACCAAATAAAACCAATTTTTCAAAATTGTTGAAAATGTAAAAATTAGATAGAATCGAAATTTCTTAGAAAAATGAAACCTCAGTAAGCTTTTGTAACACTACAGTACTCGTCAATACCAATATAGAAATAATTATCGTATCGTGCTGCTTTGTTTCAGTGTCAAATTAAATGTGAAAATTCAAATTTTGCCAGATTTTACCAGCTTCGATGGCTTTTCATTACAATCATATTTCGGAGTGTTTGAGTGTGTGTGTGTTCATTTGGTCTGGGGATGGTCATAGGCTAGGTGGCGTTTCGAAATTCGGACCCCCGCGGCACCTTATTTAGTGCAGATTTGGCAGATTCACTCCTACAGACCCCCCCAAGGAGTCAAAATTTTGAGGGTTCAGTAAAAAAATTCAAGTTGTAACATGCAGCTTGCTACTGGAATTTTGCAAGTGGTTGTGTAGTAAAAGCTACATACTTTAAACAATTTCTAGCCGGGTTTGCCTAAGAGGCATTATAAAACCCTCAAATATGGGATGTATACGATATTCACCCATGCAACACCGGGTACCTCTGCTTGTATCTCCTATTTCGAAAAAGATTGATGTGATGTGCTTCCATGTTCCTGAGTTTGAAATTTCAATGCACAATTTGACCTTCTTCAGTTTAAAAAATGTATAGGTTTTATGTAAGAAAGATACAGAAAACCAGGTTCAGCTTCATCTCCCCTTCAATTTGAGACCAAAACATTCTCCTAGCTCAATTAGGGCCAAAAATAGCCATCTGATCCATCACTGCCCCCCTCCCCCCCTTCGCTTGACAGTTTGAGCTAGAGCGCCTAAGTTTGGAATTTTTTCATAACAGTTAGAGGCCACTTTACATGAATTCTTCCAAGCAAATCCATGTCGGAAGTGCGACCCCTATTTGATAACTTAAGCCAAAATGCCTCAGATTGATTCCTCTCTACAACGTCTTGATACAATAACTCGGCCTGACTGGTGCTTGGTATCGGAAGATGCACTTATACGCTCCTCGTTACTTGAAGGGAGAAGTCGTTCAAGGCTGATAATCGAGGTACTTATTCAAGTGATTGCATTTCTGACGAAATAAAATTTCAATTTAGTCCGATTTGTGTATGTTTTCTATGAAGTTTAAGAAACGGCAGCAATAAAACTTACCGTTAAGAGTCCATTTTTAGATGAGAGGGATGATCTTGAATGAAGCCTGCAGACAGGTCGACCTAGCCTCCACCGACACAAGTCGTCTGGTGGTCTTGGTTAAATCAAGAGGAACCTCTGCAAAATGAATTGTAAAACATAAACTGCAATGGATTTGACGTGCACCTTCCACGATCGGGACATTGAAATGCACGAAAGGTAAAATGGACTGCACAGGCAGAAATAGATGTGAGAAATGTGTATTCAACCTGCTGTCAGTGATCACCGTCTAACGTTCACTTGCCATTTCGACAAAAGTAGCTGGCTCTCCTGCGTCCCAGTGTGGCTCGAGTTGGAGTATTCCCGAAGACTAAAGAGGAGCAATAGCTTGCACTCTCCTGGCTTATCTGCAGCGAGACTCTGAAAACTTATCTCTAAACTTGACTTCCCCAGGAGTAGCTCAGACGAGTTCTTATCTACTCTTCTGGATACTCTCGAAATTTCGTTAAGCACGCCTCTCCAAAACGCTCCCAATGCCCCGAAAACATTTCCCGAAATCGGGATGACCTTAGCATTCTTAAAGCTCAGACAAGAACTACTGTGACAAGTTTGCCCTAGCTCTTTAGTCATCCCTGCTCATGGTAGGAGACGAGCATTTATCGTTCGACAAGTTTTATGGATTACGTAGTCAGAGCTACAGATAACTTCCAAGGCGGGGGTGGGGGAATAAATCTATGGACAACAGGCAGAAGAATAATGTAAATGCATTTCTTATCAGCTCCGGGTAGGAGAATAGATAGGAACTTTTTCAAACCTTCATTTGATACATACTGAGACACTCATACGATGAAATACAAAGACACGGTGTTCATTGGATGACACATTCGTCCAACACATCCCCTTTTCGCCGCGGCCTTTGGGACTTTCTGGGTTGTTTTTGAGGCTGCTGATGGACCTGAAATGAAAGAGAAAAAAAAGATAGATTCATCTCCCATCACCTACTTCGAACAACACCAGGAAAATGGAACTGGAATAATTCGATGTACCCGTGAATGGACCTCGTTCGTGGCCGGTGGGTCGTCTTCTTCATCCTTTTTCTTCTTTCCCAAGCTGAAGGACCTTCTGATGGACTTTCTGAAGGCCTTCCTGAAGGACTTCCTGAAGTGTGTCTGGAGAAGTAATGCAAGGAAAATGTAATGGTATGGTGGCAGAATACTTTAAAGAAAGCAAATGACTTATTTCTCGCTTTTCACCTCGCGGTCCTGATACTCCATCTCAGAAGTTTCCGTGTAACTCTTCCTGTCCGCGGGTCCCTTCCTCTCATTTTTATCCGGGTGGATCTGCTGCTCCGAACGGACCTCCTATGATAATAATTATGAGTAGTGTTTTGGACACCTTCAAAATGGTATGATTTCGTTTCTTCAATGTTTTCTTTTATGTCTGTCGGCAGGTGGATATCCTTGAACACATATTGTGCATGCTTAAGGAGCATTCAGGAAACTGTAGCTGCAGAAATATTCCATGGCCGTCGCCATTGTAACCATGTTCACCAAAAGACAAGTGATGCAACCTACCCTTTTACTGCGTTCCACGGCATTTTCGAACGATGGCCTCCGTTGCACGCCCTTTTCCCTATCCTGGAAAACGGGAGAATTTGTGTTTCCCTGACATGCTTCAACGGAGGAAACTGAAAGAATTCCTTGAGACTCACTACACTTGCTAGTAGATGCGCTCTGCAGATGATTTCAGCTTGTTGTTTCGCCTCGCCCAGGACCTGGAGCCGCTCCCTGAAGCCAGGCCGTCGCTTTTGGTGTTCTGCGTCGACGAGGAGCTGGATGTAATCCGTCACTGTCGCAGGCGAGGATTTCGTGCCGCGCTCGCTGAGGCGATGCAGCGATTCGTTCAAATCTTTCAAAACTCTCGTCAGCTCCAACCGAGCCTCGCGGAGCTTTCCCTGCAATTTTGGCAGCAGATTCCTCCGAACGTTCGGCCTGGTATGGTTCATGGAAAGCTCCATCTCCTGTTTCTGCAAATCGACCAGCTTCTGGAAACCTGACATCCAACCAAAGGGCACGAAATTATTCCAGACTGTTGAAACACTAATAAAATGGAGAAATTCGGAGACCCTGACACATTTCAAGTTGACGCTTGAGTTTGGCGACTTCGTCGTCAAGGGCGTCTGGTTCCATCGGGTCCTCTGTGGTTAATGCCAGGCTGACTGGTTTAATCTTGGACAGGTCATTGGATAATTTCTGGAACCCTCGTACGCTCATGTCCCAATTTAGCTGGGCAACGTTCGTTTCATTTTCAGACATATCGGCCGAATACAGGGTGGAGTTATTAACCTGAAAATAGTCTCGGTATGAGATGTTTTCCGCCTTGACGGCCTTCAGGGCCACCGGGTCACTGCAGTCTGAGAAGGTGAAGGCGAAGTAGAAGTTATCGGTCGCATCTTTCCCAAACATCTTCAGGCAGGAATCATAGGCGTATTTTTCTGCAAGGTTCAGTCTCGCCCGGGTAGCTGGGACGACGATAACGATCGCACACAACTCCGTCAAACCGTTGACCTCGAAAAAGTTCAGAATCTGCTTGGGAATATAAGCATCTTCGTCCAAGCCTTCCGTATCCGCAAAACCAGGTGTGTCCACGATGGTGATGATCCCGTATTCTGGACTTTTGATGGTGTACCCCGTGACCCATTTGGTCTGAGTTGCACGACTCCCTTTCCCAGTCTCTGCGAATGTCATGTCGATCTCGTATCGCTTATCTTCCTCCCATTTCACGCCCATCAGGAAATTGAACAACGCATTCACCAACGTACTCTTCCCTGGTCGAATACATCCAGGATGTAAGACCCCACTCAATTAAGAAACTTTGAGTACAATGTATCGGTTGGACTGACCTGATCCGCTGGCTCCGAGCAGGAGCAATATCCGGCCGAAGCCATCTCGAGGTCCACAGGAGGCGTTCAGGGAATATCGGGCCACTTTATGCTCGTCATTTCGCGACAGTTCCTTCATGGGGACGAATTTTCCTTCCGGAACCTGTCGTGCACAGTTCTTTTCATTCATCATCTCGGGAAAAATTTGAACTCGATCAAGGTATACTTCATGGAATAGTACCCTTAACGAAATGACAGGTGAAAATGCATTCTACACGACCCTCGCGTCGTCAGACATCTATCAGCACGAGGTTAAGTAAGGGATTGAAAGGTATTAAAACCAGGATCAGAACGACTAGACTCACAGGAGGGGAAAACGATGTAGATGAGATAAATACTAAGGGAGATGAACGAGCGAAGAGCTCTAGGAGGATTGTACTATTACTTCCTCTGACTCTCCCATATCTTATCGGGTGTCAATACCACTATCTTGATAAACATGTAACTTTCAACTCCCATTGCGAAGCAGAGTATATACGGGTAGAGTTCATTTAAAAACATGCAGGAACGGCCCTGTGTGTGCATGAATCCCACATCCCACGTTGTGCGTAGCTGACGCCATCTCTCAAAATAAATTTGGGATTACGCGTTTTTCTTGGATTAATTGGGAACAGATCACCGAAGTCAAACTTTGATGAGGTGCAGTGAATCATCCGGAATGACATACCAATTGAGCGACATAGTCAATGCTTGTACGAGGGATCTTTAAAAAATGTCGCAGAATGAATCGGACACGGTCGAAGAATTATTAAATTATTTTTATCCTGCCGGACAAGCGGCGTTATTAGAATAAACTATTAGAGTAGGGAACATGGAGAATCCCTTTTAATTCACATGACTTCTTAGTCGATGCAAATGCAAATGAAATAGATGCAAATGATCTCAGTTCGTTCCACCTCGTTCGGGACCTGGTGCCGCTCTGTGAAACGGGGAAGTCGGCCTTGGATTCCTGCGTCTGTGAAGCTGGATGCAATCCGTCACTGGCATGGCCGAAGATTTCACGCTGCGTTCGCTGAAACGAAGCAACGAATCGTTCAAATCCTTCTAATTTCTCTTGGGTGCCAGACGAGCTTCTTTTTACATCCCCTGCACTTACCGATAAATATACCTAGTAGATTCTTTCTGATGTTCGACATGGAACGATTCGGAGGAAGCTCCGTCTCCTGCTTCTGCAAAGTCCACCAGCTCCTGGAAGCCTGCCAACAAAACAAGGAGCACATCACATTCCCAGACCGATGGAAACACTTATGACGTCATGGAATTACGAGACTCTGACTCCTTTTCAAGTTGAAGCTTGAGTTCGGTGACTTTGTCGTCAAGGGCGTCTGTTCCGTCGTGATCTCGCTGCTTAATGCAAGATAGACATTCATCGTAGACAAGTAATAATTTTCCCCAACGTTCCAATGCAGCCTAAAGAAGCTTGTGTCCTTTTAAGGCTTATTGGCGGAATTATTCACCTGGAAGTAATCTCAACATGGGATTTTCTCTGCCTTGATGTCCTCTTTGCCTGACGGTTCCCTGCAATTCGAGAACGTGAAGACAGCGTAGAAATTCACGTTGAAGTTCAGGAGCCATTCTTCGTTGTTGCCTATGAAAAGCTACCGATGGCCACAGAAATATTCAACATTCTCTTCTGGCATTGAGTGTGATTGCTTAGCAAAATCAACTCCAAAATGAGCTTCGCAGTCAGAAACCCACACGTAGGCTAATTGTCCTAGGCTGGTTGGAAGTGTACTTGAAATTAGGAGTGGAGAGAAATGCCATTTTATCATCAATTACTTTGTCACCGCACGCATTCAGTATTGGTCAGAAGGAAATTGCATACTGGAACTCACATCCTAGGAACACCTGGACAAATTCATTTGTTCCGGGAAAAGGGGTTGTATGCATTCATATATTTACTATTTATTTGGAAGCGAATTTTCCTACCCCGTTTCTCGTAGGAGACGATCCCCTTAGAATGTCTACTTGTATCATGATTATTGTTCCTTTCTGGATCGTCATCTGCCAGCCTACGACAAGTGACCCAGAGACTCAAAGCACTCTTTCACTCTTACAATATATATTTGAGTAAAACGTGCACCGTCCATTGGCTCCCTGCTGAAGAAAGTCATTCTTCTAACAGAGGTCTCAAGAGGCTGACCTCAGGAGGCTTTATGATGTCTATTTCAGCCCAACATTATGTCAACGGTTATGAGGGATGATCCCAACGAGGTCACCTTACCATATGGAGTGAAGGCCTTGGACGTTAAGATGCAATGCGTGATCGTTCCTGAGGGCGAAAAGAAATGAAGGACCTCGAGATTGCCCATTCCGCGCGGAGTCGAGAAACTCGCAGTGACGCTGCTATCGCTCCCTGATCCTCTAACGAACTGAACGGCCGCTGAGGCATCATAGTTTTCATGGGTCCGACCGCATTTCTTTCATTGCGGCCTAACGAAGACCTGCCATACTCCTAACTAGAATAATCGAATGCAGACGTGCTAGTTCTACAGCATTGCAGAGACGATTATTCGATGGATTTGAATGGGTTTGATTCTATGGATTTGAATGTTACACTAACAACTCACCCGTTGTTAGTGTGACGATGTTTTCCCGGTGTTTCGCGTCCGCGTGACACCAGATTAGCACGAAATGCCTTCTCAATCCTAGTTAGGAGTTTATGAATATACCTGCCTGCTGATGAATATGCCTAAATCATCCTGAATAATGCTCGGTCACACATGAATACGAGGTCTGGCAATAAAATAACGAGACTGTATTTTTTAATAGCTATATATTTTATATTATTGTAAACTGTGGTGTAAAATTTCAAAGTAGTTTCCTCTTGCAGCTATAGAGGAATTCCAGCATTTTTTCCAATTGTCGAAGCACTTCTGGAAGTCAATCTTCTGCAAGATGTTTAGAACGCCCGTCGTAACCTTCTGAATCTCTTCCACGGTTTCAAAATGTGTTCCCTTGATATGTTTCTTCACATTAGGGAACAAGGAAAAGTCACACGGAGCGAGATCCGGTGAATAAGGGGGGTGTTCAAGTACTGTAATTGATTTTTTTTTGCCAAAAACACCCTAACAGAAAGTGCTGTGTGTGACGGTGCGTTATCGTGATGCAAAATCCACTTATCGGGGAAAATTCTGGCCTCACCCGACGAACCCGCTGTCTCAGACGTTTCAAAACTTCCAGATACAACTGCTGGTTGACTGTTTCACTAGCAGGAACAAACTCACCATGCACTAGCCCTTTGCAGTCGAAGAAACAGAACAACATTGTCTTAACCGGTTAATCCGTTGATTTTTCTTCGAGTTTGATTTTTTGACGATTTTTTGACTAACAGTACTTTAGGTAAAGTGGAACTGCTCTGCAATCACTGCAAGTATCAGGACAAGTTTGTTACTGCACAGACTTAAGACTTGCACTGATAGGTTACAGCAATCGCAACTGACCCAGTGTTGCCACACGCATTACAGTGTTGTCAGTCTCGTTATTTTATTGTCAGACCTCGTATATCTCTTCCAAGCGACGCTGCGAGAAATTATCGAATTTTCTACCTTCCTCTATCCACTTCTAAGAATCCCCCTCGGGTATGCTTTTTCTTGCTCAAGACTACTAAGAAATGAGAATTGGTCATCCCCGGCAAACAAAGAATACTACATGGTCTTTCACCTGTGACTCAGAAATATTTATTTTAACCCCACATGAATGACAGACTGACAAAGACACATTATTAGTGCGAGATGAAAGTTTGATTCTTGGAATTACTTCTGAGATCAGACAAGCAGCGTTGAAGACTTACGGAGCCCTCCAACTAACCCTTGAACTCGCTCGCTCAAAATTCCACATCGCCGCCTTCCTCATCCTTGCACTTGAGGAATATGATGGCCACGTGAGCGACAGCATCTGCGCCCACTGCAGAGGGAACTGTCATGCAGACTCGTCCCAAGCAGCATGTTTACGTAAACAAGGTATCAATTCTTTGCAAACAATGTAAATTTCTTGCGATTGCCATGAAAATGACGTCACGTTTACGTAAAATTTACGTTCCTATATTTACGTCACCAAAGTGAACGTGTATTTTACATAAACTAGACGTCACTCCA